AAAGTAGATAAAATTTTAAAAAGTATTAAAGATGAATAAGTAAAAATTTTTTGAGAATTATATTATCACTAAATATTACCGAGATTTTATATTGAGTCACATGGTACCTGTGATACAAGATGAGTCGCAACGATGAAGATCGTAGAATTCCACCCGAGGTATTATAATTGTAACGCACAGTATACACAGTTTACACATGCGCGAGTAGCCCTGACGTACATATTCACTCAAACCAAAAACCATTCGTTCATTGCGGAAGCATGATGTAAGATGCTAAAGTGTTTTGCGATTCTTAACTTTATTTGTTTTAAAATGGCACATTTGTCATTCCATTTTAATTTTAATTTTTTAAAAAAAATATTTCCAAGTTTAGCTTCAGTCTAGCTTCAGTCATATAATGTAATTTGTTAAAATTTTATTTTGTCCTCGAAGCCTTTTTTTATATTTATTCTACTAGGTTTTTTATATTTATATTTATATTTTTTATATTTATTCTCTAGTTTTACCATTAATTATTAAATAAAAAATTTTCTTCTATAAAATAAAATGGCAAAAATTAAATGGTGAAGGTAAAAAATATATATCTAGTAGATATTCGCAATGTACAAGTTGAGAATCGCAATAATTTGCAAAAAATTGCAATAAATCCCATAAAAACTGAAAAAACGAAACTTCGTCATAATACTACACTGCTACGTCACTCTATAGAAATCAAATAAAAATGGCAAACATAAGATATCACAAACATCTATTAACGTCATTCTACACTCAAAAGAATCTACGCTCATTATCAGAAAATGAAACAAAAGAGAAAATCAAGCAAAATTTCAACATAAAACAAAAGAAACGCTTGCCCGCAGAAACGCACCACTTTCACACGAGACGCTACGCGAACGGCATTACATTAAGCATTATACGTTTATAAGCAGTGTTTTCAAAGTGGGTGGGACAGTTTAGAGGACTTTATTAGGAAGACAAATATTGAGGATTTGGGATAGTCCATGCGAGCAACTAATAAACACATTGGAGATCCGGCAACTCTGGCCAATCGTCCTGTTGTTGGAATGTTGCAGGACCGTGCAGGATTCAAGCTATCACGGAGTGCAAGAGCCTCGGGTTACAATACTGGTAACATATATGGGAATGGTCCTATAAACTCTTGAACGCTATTTGCAAAAGTGTGTAAAATTTGTATCTTTTGAGAATCCTATTACATTTCTTATAGGAAGAAAACGTCAAAATTTCTTTTTCTTATATTATAAATATATATTTTACCAATTTAAAACTAATTTTTTTATACTAAATTTCCTTTTCTCAATTCTTAACATCAACTATCTTGACACATATATACATATAAATTTCTATACAAATTTATTAAAAATTTATTAAATTTATTTAAAATAAAACAAATGTTTTTCTATTTTTTTCATATCTACCAAAAAATAACTTAATCATACAATAAAAATTTTATTATTCTCGCAAATCTTAATATTATATTTGTATTTATTAATATGTTGTAACTAAATAAATAAATAAATAAATTACATAAATATAATTACATAAATTAAATACAAAATAAAAATTCTATTTTATTTTTAATAATTTGATTTTTATATAACTGTTTATATAGCTATATAGAGTAAACACATGTTCATAAACCAGAATAAAATTACACACTTGTAACAAACAGACAAGGTAATAGTGGAATGATACTACTGTTCAATTTTTTAAGGAGTCGGATTTTAAAGGCGCTCGAGGCAGGCATGATGCGGAAATCATTTTCAAAGGGATTGGATAAACTGCATGGAGCTATTTCCTGCTGCCTTGGCATAATCTGTATTTCAAACTGCATCGCGATAACTTAGAAGTGGAAAAAATTTAGCAGGATATCTTATCAATATTATATCAATAATTTATCGTGAAATGTCTAATTAATTCCAATTAATTCTCGCATTTACAATTGCAGCTGTTAGCATTGTAGTAAATAATTTGAAAAGAAGCTATTTTTTTAAAGAAATTGTTATAATTACTAAAGCATTACAAAAGTAATAATCCAAGTTGCTACATATATTATAAAATTAATTGAGATCGAGTTAAAACAATCATTTATTTATATAAAGTAAAATATTCATCCTTAAATAAATTATTTTCTAAAATTTGATTATGTCCTTAGTTACCTCGTTTCAATCTACGTTTCATTACATACACTATTTTCATTTATTTCGCAGACTTTATTATAAAAATATAAAAAAATATAGGTTTCCAATTTCCAAGAAAATTTCTTTTCTTTTTCAAAGGGCCATGTCATTACGTCAATATACAACAGTAACAGCTGCAACCGTGCACAATCATGAAGCAAGTGTGCACAAAGACTTCCAAAGGCAGCAGGTTATAAAGCCCATTTAGTGGTTCGATTTGTAGACAACGACCAAGCGAAAACGTCCCGGTCGCCGCGTTCTTAAAAAAGTACCGCGGTAAGGTCAGAACGTCGCGCCAGCCAGCCAGCAGAATTCTAAAAAGTGGTAGTGCTTACTGTGCGGAGAGGTGGGGTGGAGTGGGTGATGGGGTTGGGTCATATTTCCTGGGGCGGCCGCGGGACAGATGCCGCCGCTTTACGAACTCGGCGTCGTCCACCATCCAGAATGACCCGAAGTCGTCCTCATAGCGCACAAAACACTTGTGCAATGATAGATTGGTGCGGATCGCGTTCTGTATACACAGACAAGACCACCAAGAAATAGAGAAAAAGAGAGTAAAAAAGACAAGGTTTCTGGTTGTTTTTTTTTTTGTTTTTGTGGTTGATTGCACATTTTCGCTTTTCTTTCTTTCGTTCTTAATTTGCGCTCGGCCCGCTCGCCGTTCGCTACCCTTCGTAACAGGGGGATGGCCTCGTGACGTATCGCGCGGGGCCAGTTTATGCCATCGCATTTTACGGGGACGCACCAGCAACGCTGGCACATCCTTGCGTCGACGGCTCCATCGCTCTATATCGTATTGCCGGGACACACGAATGATCTCGGCACGATCTCGGAAACGTCGACTTTTCACAGAGAGAGAGAGTAAAACAGCAGCACAGATTCGCAAAAAGAAGGGATGGATAAATCAAAGAAAAATAAAAAACAGAGACGCAGTAATAAAATGTAGTAAGGCGGCTTCCTCTCACTACCTGACAAAGTGCAACACTGCGGTTCTCACTCTGTTCCGGGGGCAATTCCGCTCTTCCGGGCTTCCGGGTTTTCGAGACTAGACTTGGGCCAAGATACTCGGCCCCGCCGTTCTCGATCGGGTTAGTCGCTGCAAAGCTCACATGCTCGTTATGAAAGCACACACGACGCACTACGGATTCCCATCTCCGAGAACGTGATTAGCATCTCTAAAACTCTCTTTCTATCTGTGTGTTTTCTTTTTCCTTTCATCTGTTGCGGCTCTTTCATCGGCGACGCACTCTCACGCAACATCCACGCATCCATCAGACTGCCGACTACCATCACACGACGACGGGCAAGTAAGAAGTTCACACACACACACGCGGGTTCAAACACAGTGAGTGAGTAGTTTCTCGAGTATTTTAGTCAGCATAAACGTAAACTTGTTTTGCGAAGACGTGGAATTTTCCATTTGCGTCTTGCTTTGCTCTCCGATTGAAATGCGACAAATGTGAACTCGATAGAACAGAATAGCTTATGTCTTACAATTTCGAAGACCTTCCGATCCCGTTACGAATGTGATAATTGTCGTTTCGAATTATACAAAATTACGGCGCGCACCTCGAGAAACCGCATATTAGCAGCAAACATACAGACAGACGACATAAGCGACGTACATTAAAGATTGTTATGGCATTTAGGTGTATAAAAAGGTTTATACACACACACACAGATCTATACGTATGAATGCGCACGTATCAAGTACAAACAGGTACAATATACTATAAAGAGAGATGTAAAACAGGGAACACGACGTAGATATTGTGTAGGCGTCCAAATATATCGTATGATTAAAAAAAGAGAAGTAGAGAGAAATGCACAGGAGAGCGTGCGTGTATGTGCGTATACATACATACGAAGGCCACAGACGCACTAATATGTGCGTCCGCCTTATATAAAGTCGCATATATAGAAATATATATAATATATATATATGAAACAGATATATATATTAAAAATACATATATGTAAAAAGAGCTATATATATATACGTATATAAAAATAGAATATTAAATACTCTTAATGTATAAATATATATATATATATAAATATCAATATATAAAAATATGTAATAAAAAGTATGTAAAAAGTTATATAAATATGATATAAAACTGTAGAAAATTGGCACAATATGAGGGGCTGGGGGGTTGTTCAGCGATACAACTATAAATATAGTAAAAGCGAATAAGAGTGAATATATATATATAATATGATTTAAGTATATGTAAAAAGATAGAGAAAAGAGAGAAAGTGAAGTATAGACATATAAATGGGAAATTTCAGGGAAATAATGGAATTATAGGAAGATTTGTAATATAGCGAAGAACTACCCACTCGATGCATTCGAGGGAGAGGGAAAAGAGGGTAGGCTTCAGATCGCTGATCTCGAAAGAAAGGGACGGAGGAGTGGTAAGAAATATCCATGTAAAAGAAAGAAGAGAGAGAAAGAGAGAGAGTGAGAGAGAGAGAAAGAGAATAAAGAGAGTAAAAAGCGCGGTTGTAATTATTTTTTCTGATCGATGGGGCATGGGGAGGGGCAACGTACCCGGTCGTGCTGCAAGCGCGCTGTGGGCGTCTCTTGTAAAACTCCACTTCGTCCACCGTCCATACTGCCCCTTTCACGTTTTCGACTCGCATGAAACATTTGTGGAGAGACAGGTTGTGTCGCACTGCGTTCTATACAAAATAATACACAGACAAAATAAGCAACGCAAAAACGAACGAAGCCAACTCAATCACGGTCCCGGTAATCGGCGAGGGGTAAGG